TATTTAACCCAAGATCGCCAAAACATCATTTGAACACATGACCAATATAAAAATTGAGATATCTTATGTTCTAATATTCCATTAAGTCTTCAAAATCCAGTGTATATTTTATAATAAGCACATCTCAATTTGGACACTAAATTTTTATCAGAAAATATTTGATCTATATTTAAATTTCATAACATTTACATTTGAAAAAGTAGATTCACATATCCAGGTTGTTCTAAACATACAAGTTCTCTGGTAACTGAATCAGGTAGCAAATTTATTTACTTATTTTTAAAAATTATATTTAAATCAGTTAAAATTAGGTAAAATGAAAAATTCAGTTTCTCAGTCACATTAGCTATATTCAAGAGCTCATGAGCTACATGTGACTAGTGGCTATTAAGTCTATATTACTCTTTTAAACTTCTTGTTTATAACTGTCTACTTTATATTTAGTTTTTCATCACATCAAACAAATCTGAGGCTTTTAAACTTTACTTGTTTCCTTGGTTATGTACATATTCCACTAGTTAATCTGATTTTGTGCCACTATAGTTTGAAAAAGCAGACTGTCAGTAGACTGTCTCCCTGCCCTCTCCATTTTTTTCTTGGTAATTCTTTCTTGATTCTGTTATGCTGTAATTTTGAACAATTTCATTTACTGAAGTAACACAAACATGTAAATTTCATTTTTTGTTAGTGAAATATAGAAATGTAATTGATTTTTCCCCCTAGAAACACTGAATGCTTTTTGTCAGATTCTTTTCTCTCCCTCCAAGACTGGAGGGACGCAACAGTTACTTCTTGGTGGAGATGTCATCATCATCCAAAAACTAAAGGCTACAGTTTATAGCAGACAGAAGCGGGCCCATCAGGATGTGGCTGAATCTTGACACGAGGCCATCTGCTCCCCAGCATCACTCAGAAAGGGATTGCTTTCATGGTCGAAAGGGGAGGGCACCTAATGGCTCACTATGGAAAATACAATTAATTATATGGTTTTCGGGATCCCTGGGTGGCGCAGCGGTTTAGCGCCTGCCTTTGGCCCAGGGCGCGATCCTGGAGACCCGGGATCGAATCCCACGTCGGGCTCCCGGTGCATGGAGCCTGTTTCTCCCTCTGCCTATGTCTCTGCCTCTCTCTCTCTCTCTCTGTGTGTGTGACTATCATAAATAAATAAAAAATTAAAAAAAAATTATATGGTTTTCATGCCAGCATCTGCCTTTACCAATAAGAGCTGCAAAAGATGTATGCTTCTGTACAACACAGAACTAATTTTTTAATATTGCCTTTGTGTCTAGCAATTTTGAATTCACCTATCAATTCTAATATTTTTTCTGCAGATTCTTTTGACTTCCTATAAATATAATCACACTGTAGCATGATGATTTTTTTTTCTTTTCCAATTCTTTTTTTTAATTTTTTTTTTTTTTTACTTTTTATTTATTTATGATAGTCACACACAGACATAGAGAGAGGCAAGGCAGAGACACAGGCAGAGGGAGAAGCAGGCTCCATGCACCAGGAGCCCAAAGTGGGATTCGATCCTGGGTCTCCAGGATCGCGCCCTGGGCCAAAGGCAGGCGCTAAACCGCTGCGCCACCCAGGGTTCCCTCTTTTCCAATTCTTATGTATTTTATTTTTGTCTTACTGTATTGGCTAGAATCTTTGTCATAGTGTTGAATGAAATAACAGATGGATTTTTTTTTTTTTAAGTAGGCTCTATGCCCCAATGTGGGGCTTCAACTCACGACCTTGTGATCAAGAGTCACATGCTCCACTGACTGAGTCAGCCAAGTGGCTCTGATAGAATCTCTGCCTTGTTCCCAAACTCAAAGGCAAAGTTTATAACATCTTACTATTAAGAATGTGGTTTGTTGGGGCACCTGGGTGGCTCAGTGGTTGTGTGTCTGCCTTTGGCTCAGGTTATGATCCTGGGGTCCCACATCAGGCTTCCTGCAGGGAGTCTGCATCTCCCTCTGCCTATGTCTCTGGCTCTCTCTGTGTCTCTCATGAATAAACAAATAAAATCTTTTTTTAAAAAAAGAACTTGGTTTTATTTTTTGCTTTATATATTGGTCCTTTATCAAATGCTTTTCCTCATTGATTAAGATGACCATATTATTCTCCTCCCTTATTAAGCAATTAATGTAAATAACATGGATTGATTTTCTAACGCTAAATCAAATTTGCAATTTCTGAAATGAACCCAACTAGGTCACAGTATAGTTCCCTTTTTGTATTACAGGTGGATTTTTGCTTCTTCATTCATTCATAAGACTGGCTTGTAAACTCCATTCTCATAATATTCTTGTCAGGTTATGCTAAGTTCATAAAACGAATTGGGATGTATTCCTTTTTTTTTCTGTTCTCTAGAAGATTTGGTTACTAATGACATTTCTTTCTTAAAAGGCTGTAAGTTACCAATAAAGCCACCTGGGCCTAGAGTTATCTTTGTGTGAAAATTTTAAATTATATATTGTTTTTAAACAGATATAGGGCTATTCAGTATTCAAGTTCCTATTCTGTATCAGTTTCAGTAAGTAGTATATATTCTTTGTTTTTCTAATTGTCCACTCCATCTGTTCCGTTTTCAAATTTATTTGCACGAAGTTGCTCATAAAATATTCTTATGGAGGAAAAAAATTGTCTTTTTTTTTTTTTTAAATTGTCTGTGTGATTTGGAGTAATGCCTCCTGTTACGTTTCTGACTTTATCTCTTCTCTCTTTTTTCTTGGTCAATCTTGCCAAGGGTTTATCAATATTATTATTATTTCAAAGATCCAACTTTGTGGTTCTTTTAATCCTCTCTACTGTACTTCTTCCCCTACATCATTAATTTTACTCTATTTATATTGCTTTATTCTACTTTCTTTAGATTTAATTAGTTCTTTTTCTGACTTATTGAGAAAGGTGTCCCCCCCGCCCCCCGCCCCAAGAAAAAGCAGAGATCCTCAACCTTAGCTGCATGTTGCAATCACCTGGGGAGCTTTCAAATGCTTGAGTCCCATCCCCAGAGATTCTGATGTGACTGGTCTGGGCATCAAAAGCTCCTCAAGTGATTCTACTGTGCAGCTACAGTTGAGAACCACAGATTTAAAGCCACAGATTTAAGTACAACTTTAACTATATCCCACAAGTTTTTAATTTTTTTGATCAAACTGTTTTAAAATTTCTGCAGTGATTTGACATAAATTTTTTAAATGGGCAAATACAATATATAATTTTAGAAGTCAGGTAAATAGTTACTTTGGGGGAAGAAGGCAGTTGTGATTGATGAAACGGGAGCTTCTAAAGTACGTGTTCAATTTGTGATAATTCACTGAGCTAGATACTTATAAGTGTTTCTGTGATTTTATAATATACTTTAATACATTTTTAAAAGAGAGAAATAGATCTCATGCAAAGATTGGGAGTTATAATGGCAATAGTCTTCTCAGTATTAATACTGGAAGCTAGAAGAAACAGCATAATGCCTTCTCAATTCTAGTGGAAAATTATTTCCAACCTAGAATTCTGTATGCAAACTTTTGATCAAATGGGAGGGTAAAAATTAAAAACTTTCCAGAGTAGGTTACAGAAAAGTTACCTTCCCTGTACCTTTTCTCAAAAATCTCCTGGAGAATGTGCCCCACTAAAGAGAGGAAACAAGGGACGCCTGGGTGGCTCAGTGGTTGAGCGCCTGCCTTCTGCCCAGGGCATGATCCTGGAGTCCCGGGATCGAGTTCCAAATTGGGTTCCCTGTATGGAGCCTGCTTCTCTCTCTGCCTATGACTCTGCCTCTCTCTCTCTCTCATGAATAAATAAATAACATTAAAAAAAAAGAGGAAATAAATAGATGAAGACACAAGATCCAGGAAACAGATTTCAATATAAAAGGAAGGCAAAAGAAATTCCCAAGATGACAATCATACAGCAGGCCTCAAGAACTAGTACACCTGGGAGCAAAAAGTTGGAGGGTTTTAGGGCAGACATCTCCAAGAGAAACTAAAACCAGGTCAGTACTCACTTGTGTTTGACCCACACAGATTTTCCCATTCTGTCAGAGTATAAGGATAAATCAGGGGTAACCTCTTAGAAAACCAAACAATTAAAAAAATCAAAATTAAGGTAAGAAAACCAAACAACTAAAAAAATCAAAATTAGGGTAAGAAAAGAATGATGCCCCACCCATCCAAAAAATGGGTAAGAACAATCATAGTTCAACTCAGCTGTGAATAGGGGTTTTACAGTTATAACAACATAACAGAGAGCAGTGATTCAGGCAAGCACTGTGATCTAACTTTATCAGGGGATAGGAAGGGGATTTTGTTTGTACTCATAATGTGTGAGGAGTTGCTGGGTGAGGTTACATGGGATAATAAATCCTCATCTACAGTGGGACATCAAAAGATAAACTGAACTGAAAAATCAAGAAATAGTGTAAGCATAGAGAAGTGAAAAATAGCTAAAATAATTTAAACTTAGGGAAGGTGAAGAATGGCAAGGTGTGGGGCAGGATGCTCCTACTTTCTCTTATGAGCACTGAAGCATGTATCTTTTTCAATTACCAGTAGACAGTATTTTCATAAAAATAAAATTAAACTTAAAAAAAACCCATAAAAATAAAAGAATCCCAAGGCCTAACAAGTCACTTTTAGCTTTAAAATTCTGGATAATCACCAGAATAATCCTTGAACAAGAAGAAGTGTATCTGTAGCACGTATCAGTGATCATTATTAATTGTTGTTTCAACCCTGAAATCTCCCCAAATGAACCAGATTTATCTGTATTTTAGTACAGAGTACAGGAAAAGCTGTCCCCTAAAGCCAGAATGTACAAAGTAAATGTTTTCATTTATCAGGTTAGGCTGAATTTACACTATTGCATGTAACTTTTCAGAAAGGTCTATAAAGTTAGTTTGATCTGTTGTGCCAACACAGGATTACTCAATTATCTTCTGTAAGTTGATAATTAAGGGGATTAAGTACCTGAATCAAAAGAGAAGATATAGTTTGTAGAAGTGAAATTACCTGAAGAAAGTCACGAAGAACTGTACCAGGTCCATAAAATTGCTGTGCTGGGAGAAGGCGATCTGTGAGGGAGAAACAGGTAGTGTGAGGAGGTAGGCTACACAGGAGCACTGGCAAACTTGGCCTTCTCAGTTTAAGAGACACACTGGAAATGTTCAAGAAGAGATTAATGAAATTGTTTTTCTTGAGGGCAAGTGGCTCATCTCTTTCTTTTCTGGCTTAACTGCCAGCCCAAAAGTAATATTCTGAGGCTTCAAGGCAAACTCCCAGGGCACCCACCCCTCTGCTCTTGATACCAGATCTAAGTTCTTTTAGTGTGACCTAGAAGACTTCTCAGATCCCAACATGAAAACCCCAATGCCCGGCAAGCCAGTCTGCTTGCTACCTCCTTGTGCCTTTCTCTGGACAAAATGCTCTCCTTGTTTGCTTCAAGTTCAAGTTCTTGGATCCACCCCAAGGTAAGGAGCCTCATCTGTGCCCTTCATCTCTTTGATACTTACGTGCTCAGTGAACACTCACTTCAGGACAGTGTCCTTTTTTTAATTATTATTATTATTAAAAAAGGTATCTCATTTGACTACATTGAGTATCATTTGACAGTCAATATAACACCAGTTGGGACCTAAATAATTTTATTATACAGTTAATAGTTTTATACCAAGAATATAAAAAAATTCCTAATGTAGATCATCTAAGACACCACTGACAGAAATAGACATTTTGTATACTATCAAGGAAAAACACTACCAATTACATGATGACAAGATACTTTAAAAATCATTGGCTGGAAGATGCGTTGTGCTATCAGAGCTATTAGAACATGAAAAAAAATGAGCATGTCAGGATTTATTAGTAAATATAACTGTCTTTATTATTTATAATACTCATGGTACTAGCCAGATGTTATGGTGTATTCTTTGCTTTCTTAAAGGGTATACCTTGCAGAGACAATGGTACTGTAAGTAAAACATTTATTGAATAAGGTGAAAATTGCTCCAGTACAGACCATGAGTATGACAAAAATCAGGGAAATAAATGATTAGCAGCTTCTTTTTCTTTTTTTTTTTTTTTAATTTGTGATAGTCAGAGAGAGAGAGAGAGAGAGAGAGAGAGAGAGAGAGAGAGAGGCAGAGACACAGGCAGAGGGAGAAGCAGGCTCCATGCACCGGGAGCCCGATGTGGGATTCGATCCCGGGTCTCCAGGATCGCGCCCTGGGCCAAAGGCAGGCGCCAAACCGCTGCGCCACCCAGGGATCCCTAGCAGCTTCTTTTTCTAATCTCACCCAACGCCCTATCTTTTCAGGCAGCAGTTCCCATCCTATGGTAAAGCAAGAAAAGTGCTGGACCCAGACCCCTGGCAATGGGACAATTCAATATTTTGTATTCTTTTTATGGCCAGACTCAAAGAGGCAGAAGAGGTTTCCAGTAATGGCCTTTTTTGATGGTCTTATTTTCTTTCTGACATTCCATAAATAAAGTTCCAATACTACCTATTCAGGCTAAGGACACTACGGGGCACAGAATTTGCAGTTCTGGTGTCTCTTTAGCTACCATTTATAATCAGAAACACAAAGATACATAGACTTTATACCATAGGTAAGGAAAAACTCACATTCTTTGCTTTTCCTTAATTTTTAAATAGTACCTAGTCACAAATAAGAAGACTCCTCAAGAATATGGCCACTGCCCTCACATAAAGTTTTTTAATAAAACTAGTGAAGGACAATTATTTAAACAATGTTATTCAATCTTGACAAATGAAGGTTCTAGGTTATAACATAAAGAATGAGAAGGAAACCGATTCTAGTCCGTCCAATTCTGTTTATAGATTTTAATCTTTTAAAGCACTAGTATGTCCTCAGTGTTTATACTTAAAGGATCCTGAGATGCTTTTACTGTCAGATGCCAGAAAGTTTGGATGCTAATAGCATCCTCTGAGGATTACCAGGTGTCTGTATGCCCCGTGCCACGTAATACTCCACAGTGCTGGGATCACCACCATTAGCCTTCTTGCTGAAGCAGGGCCACACCATGTTCATGTCTAATTCAAAACCACAATGAACCAATATAAACTGGCCACCAGTGTGGCTGCTACCCAAGACTCACATTACTCTAAAAGGTGACCTCTTTTGTTAAATGTTATTCACCCAAGTCTCCAGTTATGAGGTTTGGTAGGGAAGCAAAAGTCCTAACATAAAACTGTTTATGAATAGACTGACCACTTAGAAACATTTAGCCTTGCTCAACATCCCACCCACCATGACAGTTGATTAATATTTGACTGACAAAGTGATGAGCTTCTTGTCCAAACTGAGAACTTCTGAGAGAGAAAGGGAATGCTATTAAAAATTATACTAGGACAGGGAATCCCTGGGTGGCTCAGTGGTTTAGCGTCTGCCTTTGGCCCAGGGCGCGATTCTGGAGTCCTGGGATCGAGTCCCACATCGGGCTCCCAGCATGGAGGCTGCTTCTCCCTCCTCCTGTGTCTCTGCCTCTCTCTCTATATATATGTCTGTCATAAATAAATAAATAAATCTTAAAAAAAATTATACTAGGACAACAAGCATGAATTGGGCTGCTCAGACCGAAAACATACAAACCAACCACAAAAGCAATCTAGCAAAGGCAAGATTCTACTGAAAGTGCTGTTGGAGAACTGATCCCACAGAATCACTGGTAAATGGAGACCCAGCAGGGTTATCAACTGAAGAGGGATGAAGGTAAAGACATAAGTCCTTCAAGATACTCCAAAGATACTAAGAGAGGACCCTGGGAACACTGATGAGGCGCTTGACTCATGGCGTGCAATCAAATCTGAAGTGAAGACTGTTAATGCTGTCTAAGCAACCAGCACCATCTGCACAACTGAAGCCACACCTCTACTTTTCTTGCTCAATTTTTCTTCATAGCCCTTATATGTCCATTTACTTATAGTTTTTTTCTCTCATTAGAAAATAAGATCCGAAAAAAAAAAAAAAAAAAAAAGATCCGTGAGGACAGGGACCTTGCTGCTGACCCCTGTGTCTCCAGTGCCTAAAGCAGTGACTGGCATGGAAGAGGTGTTTAATAAATATGTGCTGAATAAAGGAAAAGGGTAATTGGAAAAACAATGACCCGACCTCCACCTTCCCCTGAAAGTAAGAAAGACCTGATTGAGTTTTCTTTCTTCTAAGAATTGGCTCATGGTTGCCATCGTAACTTAAATTTTGTTAACTGTAAAATTAAACATTTTTCGGGCCTTTGAACTTCATTTTTTCAAGACAATAGTCTGATTAGATCTTTCTTCCATGATTTTTTATAAAATAAACATTGAAACAGACATTGAAGTATTTGGTGGCTTTTTTGACACTGAAGATAAAAGGGACTTCCTATAATAAGATATGCTTATTTCCAAAAAAGAAAATGTCATTACAATTTATAAATAAAACTCAGTGTCATTCTTCTCCCTTTCTAAACAGTAGGGATCACCCCCCACACTCCAGCAAACCTAGAATTTATGTCCCCTTACATTTCCACAACGTGCTTTTGCCTTACTCTCAGCAATAAGTTTGAATAAGGTGTGCCTGCCCAGGGGACCCTCTGGGTGTGTTGAATAAATCTGAGAAACAACTCAGAAGCCCAGCTAGACCCAGAATTTAGGGTAAGATATGGTGGACCTACATTTCCCAAGCACTAATTTTGTGCATTAGCCAAACACGGGTTTTCAGACTGCTCTACTGCTGCACTTGGCTCTGCCTACCCATCTACAGTACCCCGCCACCACCTCAGCCCCACCTAAACACTCCCTTCCTCATTCAGCGGCTGGAAATCGGCTCTCTCTTCTCTACACTCCCAGTGCCCAATCTGCTTCCTTCTCAGGATATGGGACAGTCACAGTCCACCTTGTACTATGTCTGTGTATCCAGAGATGTCCTGGAAAAAAAGATTCTTTCACTCTTCTGTCAACAAAAAATCAATGGTTGCTTTCTAACCATTGTAGGAGAAAGAATGGAAAGGCAATTCCCTACCACCCATAGAGGCAGATACACCTACCTCCACAGAGCAAATAACATCATCATATTCCAAGAACTAGACCATAGTTCTCAAACTCTGGAGAGCCTGCAATGAAGTGTGAATCATAGGCCCTATTCCTACTCCTGAAGCTTTAAGTTCCCCAGGTGATTCTGATGCCAGTGTCCAAAGATCATACTTTAGGAAATCCTGAAACAAGGAATTAAGGAAAAAATCTACCCTGCTCCTTACCCCAAACAATTCCTTTAGTGTTTCAGGAATAGGGCTGAAAAAATGTGTCATTTTTACTTAGAAGGTTTGGCCCCCAAAGAAATTAACCTGGATCTTCCCCAGGGATGGGGGTATGGTGGATATTGGGAGTGGGGGGAAAGGTGACAGTAGAGAAAGAGAGGGTAATGCATTGAAACAAACAGAGAAGCATGACCCAAACTTTGAGGCCAGGAAATGGAAGCAGGGCAGATGTTCTAGTTTTGAAAGTGCCAAGGAATATAAGGAGACTGCATGGCAGGCCTGGGGAGGCTCTTGGACCTCACAGACTATTCTGTACCCAATGGCCAAGCCTGTCACACATGGGAATTAGGACAGCTGCCTTCAAACAACCCTGTGGGCCATAAGCCAGGGTGCTGGTAGCATCAGTCAGTGAATGAAGATCAGAGGCCTTCCCCAGATCTCTGGGCATGGGTAAGCCCTAAGGTTCCTACAGCTCCTGCGAGAAGGTGATGGCACTCTTTGGGAATGAATTTCTTATCAACTAAGGTAGGGAGGGCACTCTAAAAATAAAAGTAAGACATTTCTTATAGCCAACTACCACAAATTATTTTTCTAACATGTGTATTTCTAACATTGCATTTCTAACGTTTGTGTAATCAACAAGGTAGGTATTTGGAAACAAGTGAATGAATGGATGAACAAATACTAGCCTCAAGGCTAGTTAATTCTACTGAGCCACTCACTCCTGATGTGTAAGCTAACACTCACCATCTGTGCACACCCAACCTCCCACCCCAATAGTGCTCTGTGCTTGCTTTTCCACAGAGCCTTTCAGCCATTC